CTTAGCATATGCTGATGACATTGACATAATAGGGCGTAGCAAGCGAGAAGTTGAGCAATATCTCCTAGAATTGGAAACAGCGGCGAAACAGGTCGGTCTAGTCATCAACCAAGACAAAACCAAGTACATGTTGGTTACAAAGGATCCGATAGCAAATGAATAAAAAACAGTCTTAGGAAGTCATACCTTTGAACGTGTTGACAACTTCACATACCTTGGGTCGCTATTGACTGCTACCAATAAAACTAAACCGAACTAACCGAATGTTCAATACTAATGCCACCAATTTCCATCTTACATCTGGTTGGTTCTTTGGTGATTTCTATTAATTTACGTCAAAATACTTCACACTTTGTAAAGAAAGAGCTTATAAATAGATTAAAAAGTTTACAGCTTGATGGAAGTATCGACATTACTTGACTTGCTGTTCTGCTTGTCTTTGTGAGGTTTCCATTCGGGATAAAAATAGAAGAAGAACTCCTTATGTGTGAAGAGCTTAAAAGTTATGACACTAGTGAAGAAATTTTCAAGGCTATCCACGAGTATATAAGAAAAAATGAGACATAAGTCGATGTGAAAAATAAGTCCCTTCTTTCTCGGCATATGCTTACATTAAAAACAAAATACAGAAGCAAACTTCAAGCATCAAGGGATTTAATGGTCAAATTTACAAAGATTCCCATAATTATAAAGGATATAATGAAAACTTTATCGAAACAGTTTCATTCATCTCATTAAGTAATGATATTTGCATATCAAATGTACTGTATTTTATTGATCTGAAGTAAAGTTTATATTAAAATGAGCCTCAGAATTGTATTTTTTTCATTCTTGTCGTTTCCCAAATCGCTTCAAAGGTTGGTATGCCTCGAAATATTTTTAGCCCTACAAGGGTGCCGCAACTAAAAAAGTTTGAGAACCACTAACATAGATACGCAATTAAATTTCCTACAGAAAAAAAATAAGAAGGAATATTTTCAAATGCTACAAATAAAACTAATACTCTTTTGAATGAAAATAGAAATCAGAAATCTATAGAAAGGCTACCATGTATTAACTGTGAAAGGGTTACATGAAGCCGAACAACTAGCCCAGGACAGAGAAGGATGGATGGAAATCCTAAAAAAACTGTGAAGGCCTGATGTTGTCACCACATCCCAAAAGGGATTAGGACTGAGAAGGAGGATTAACTGTGAGGCTCGTGGGTACCCGGGACACACAAGAGAAAGAAAACAACAAAAAAACTAGATTATACACCACTAATTAGCAACTAGCAACTGCAATTAGCAACACTAACAAGCAAGGAGACATAACAGGTCTAAAAAACCACCGTCCATCAGTTTGTTCTCAGACATACATTAACGTTTCACAAAAATTATCAAAAAAAAATGGACGATAAGTTTGACTTATACGCTTATATAATGACTTATATAAGCCTAGAAAACAAGCTAGATTTAAATCGGGATACAGTACTGACGACCACTTCCTAGTAATAACGTATGGTCCTAAAGTTTTGGAGAAAAATTTTACCGGGTCTGATTGAGAAGCAAAATGCATTTAACAAAGTAGGTCATGAAATTGAAATGTTATCAGTTATTGACATTTAATAAACAAAGCAGAATATTTTGGTTTGTGCTCTGCAAAATGTTTTATAAAATTGATATTCGTCGAGGTGTTTATAATATGATTGGGCGAATGTCGAAACGAGATATTGTTAATATTTATCGAAATCAAAACATAAGCAAATCGACAATTTATCGCACAATCAGAGAATGTGAAGAAGGGATACCATGTATTAACTTGCGTAAAAGTGGCCGACCGCGGATTTTGAACTATATAAGAGATGCAAGACTGATTGAAACAGCTAAGAACAAAATATTTTTAATCGCCCATCACGATCAACTTGTTGACGAAATGCACTCGCCTTAACGCGCTGCAACATCTCGGAATTCTCTTTAATTGATCCTCTGTGTATTTTGGAGCTTTTCTTCATTTCCGGTAGATAATATTGTTACTAAATATTGTCCTGTATACTGTAGTCTTTCCAACATGAAATCTTCTGGACAGTTTTCGCTCTGAGACCCCAATTTTGTTCTTAGCTGCTTCAATCAGTCTCACCTCTCTTATATGGTTCAAAATCTGCGGTCGGCCACTTTTATGCAAGTTAACACATGTATCCCTTCTTCACATTCTCTGATTGTGCGATAAATTGTCGATTTGCTTATGTTTTGATCTCGATGTATATTAACAATATCTCGTTTCGACATTCATACCCAACCATATTATAAACACCTCGACAAATATCAATTTTATAAGACATTTTGCAGAGCACAAACCAAAATTTTCTGCTTTGTTTATTAAATGTCAATAACTGATGAGTGTTACAATAGTATACAATACAATAGTGTTTTTCAATACCATAGAAGGGCTGCAAAACTTAATGAACAAAATAACAGAAACAAGTAGAACCTATGGACTAGATATAAACATCAGCAAAACCAAGCTAGTGATCATCAGCAAGCAAAACATAACTGGAGCAAATCTGTATATGAACCAAATGAGAAGTGAACGTGTCTCACAATACAATTACTTGGGAACTATAATCAATAAGTCGTGGGACAATACGCAAGAGATTAAATATCGCATCGGAAAGGCCAAAAGTGCATTCTTGGCTATGAGCTCTGTGCTTAGAAGCCATGACCTCACCCTGAAAACAAAGATAACTCTCCTTAAATGTTACGTGTACTCAGTGCTTCTGTATGGAGTAGAAACGTGGACATTGAAGGCGGAAACTCTATCAAAACTTCAGGCGTTTGAATTATGATTATACAGAAGAATCCTGAAGATACCGTGGACAGACAAAGTCACCAATGAAGAAGAACTGCGGAGGATGAATACAACCGCGGATTTGATCAACATTGTGAAGAGCCGTAAGCTGGAGCACTTGGGACATATAATGAGAAATCAAGGCAGATACAAGCTACTCCAATGCATTTTGCAGGGTAAAATTAAAGGAAAAAGAGCCCAGAACGAAGAAGAATATCCTGGCTTGCTAACCTGAGAGCATGGTATAGAAAGACCTCAACACAGCTATTTCGTATAGCAACCAACAAAATCATCATAGCCAGAATGATCGCCAACGTTCGGAACGGACAGGCACCCTAAGAAGAAGAACTGATGACATTTCAATTCCATGGCATTCTTTGTTAAACGCATTTTGCTTCTCAATCAAACCAGGTGAAATTTTTCCCAAAACTTTAGGACCTAATAGGAATAAGTTAAAGAACCTAATAGAGAAGTCTGCAGAATACAACAAATCATTGGCACTGATATTTGTCGACTACGAAAAAGTATTCAATACCATAAGCCATCAGAAAATGTTAAAAACATTGACAGAATGCCAAATAGACCATTGCTACATTAACATAATCAAATATATTTACCAAAATGCCACAGCTAGCGTAAGATTATCTGCACAAGAAACAAATAAATTCTGTACACAGCGAGGAGTACAGCAAGGTAGCAAGGAGGAGAGATACCGTCTCTCCAAAGCTATTCACGAAGCTTTTAGAATATACTTGTAAGAAGGCATATCTGAACAAGCATCGTATCGATATAAATGGAGAGAAGCTCAGTCATTTATGATTTGCAGATAACATCGTCCTTATAGCCGATCGTAAGAATGATGCAAAAGTAATGTTTGAGCAATTATATCAAGCTTCTTTGTCAAGACAAAAAAGTCAAGAGACTCACATTAAATTTTTACAAAATAAATACATTTCAAATAAAGCTTATCGATGTTCCATTTCGGATGAATGTAAAATTAAAAGTCAAAAAACCAAGTTACATATATTTAGCTAGGATATTAAAAGTAATCGATTTTGACAAGAGTTATGAGTCATGCCGAATTAGTACACAAGTTTACCTGTTACTTATAAGGTCATAGCTCTTGTTCAAACTCATTACCTATAAAAAAGGACCAACGAATAAAACCCATAGACTGGAAAAAGAGCTTGGAAGTTTTTAAATCAAATGTACTGATGATATTCGAAAAGTAGCTGGTAAAATTCGCAAAGAGTTAGGAGAAAGATATCTTCACATGTGGACGAAAAAAACAGAATATAAATAGGGGGAGGGACCTGCCTGGATAGAACATCTGCAGCACCATAAGGATAAGATAACTATCGCAGATGAATATTTATGTCACATATAGTGGAACTAGGCACGTAGTAAAATAGACAGAGTAGTAAAAACTAAAATCAAAATAGATTTGGCTGTAGCACGTAGCTAGTATAGACAAAAAGGACAACTCAATAGAAACCATAATCTGAAATAAGGCCCTGAGCGGTTTTTTAATGTCATGTTAGTAATGACACCAAAAAGTAGCTGTGACAATTGGATAGAATTGGAAAATACCAAAAAGAAATCAAATACGAGACCTACGTGGGTGTATATCTTCAGTACGATAAAAATAAAACAATCTTCGCAGATAAATCCTTATGTCACAAACAGGAAAAGTAAATACGCAGGTAGGCCAAAATTAGGATAAAAGGATCTTATGGATCAGAATGCTAGAAAAATAGATGCGACAAACTGGCAACCATTGGCAATGTATTGGATTGAATGGCGAAGAAGATTTGGGAAATGCTCTATTTTAAAGTTATGAAAAAGTGATGATGATAAGCACACATACTTAATATACATAATTGCAACATAAACTTTGCCTAACTGAATAATTAGCGTAGAAGAAACAATAAAATAATATTACCAAAATTACAAGCAATTTTACCATCTAACAATAAGGCATGGGCTCATAGATATGAAATGCAGCATCTCTAAGAGCTACAAGATAAAAAATAAGTTTTCTTGAAAAAGTTTTTTAAACGTTCTTAGAATAAAAGAACGTAATAAACACGATATTTAAAGGTACTTCTAATTGGACTAATAGATTGTTTTTCAAACTCTAAGAAGAGGAAACGCTACTTGAAGCTAAAACCTACCTTCCCGCTGCCTTTGTAATTCATGTCGTTGGAAAGGTAATCCGTAATTAACAACGTTTCGTCGTCGATGGCCGTCACCAGCGAATCGGTGCACGTGTTCGTATTCTCGATGCTGATCTTAATCGAGTCATCCTTGGCGAGGCGGCAATGCGGCGGCGGTGTTCGAATCTCTTCTTCGGACTGCGAAGCGGCTGCTACACGTCCGTTGGCTAGGCGCAGACTAGGTGCGCGTCTCCCCCTCTCCCCGCCAACACCGCCGCCGCCACCACCCCCGCCTCCACCACCACCTCCACGTCTTTCGACGGCCCCGACGACGCCGACGCCTGCGCTGTTGTCCGCACCGCCACCGTCCCTGAAACAAAAAGAGATGACATTAGCATAAGAGGGGACAAGCACATGGTTGGCTGTTACGCCATTTGTCGGAATTTAAAAATATGGTTAAGGGGAACGTGGAAATAGCGAGAGGGGAAAAGCAGGTAACGAAAACAGTCGTATATTATATAATACAATGTTTTGGCGTGAGAAAACTGTTATTGCTAAATATGGAAGGTCATTGAAGTATTCTTAAAATTGTTACACTGTATTAAAATATATTTTAATGGATTTGTTTGCAAATTTATTACTTTCGGAACAAAAACTTTACAGAATTGAGCATAATAAAATTTTTGTTGAGTAAAATTTACATTAAAATAATTTCATTCGTAAAAAAATAATAAAAACCAGTAAATATTCAACCAATGTTACTTAAAATCCTCTTTATAAAGCGAACAATATTATAGTGGTGTAGTGTTTTTAGGCAATTCCTTCTGTTAATAGAGTTCAGTTGTCAGATGCAACATATTGCTGCCTTTGGCGGTATTTAGAGCTTTTAGTGCAGATTTAGCTTTCTCTTAATATTTTCAACTCAAATATTCTTTTGTGAAAATCAGAATGAAAGAAGTAAACCAGATAAATCACACATCAACCAAAATGCCAACATGGCAGGCATTTTGCAAGGTAAAATTTAAGGAAAAAGGGTCTTAGAAGAACATCCTAGCTAGCTAACCTAAGAGCATGGTATAGAAAGTCCTCAACACAGCTATTCCGTATAGCAACCAACAAAATCATCATAGCCATATTGATCGCCAAAGTTCGGAACGGACAGGCACCCTAGAAGAATGTTCTAGCTAAGTGCCTTGTCCAGTTCCACTTATAGTACCTACTTGAAAATCTTCCTTTATTTTGTTTTCTGTAGTAAACGTTCTTTGTCCAAACGATTTTGAATGTTCAATGGTAGACCCACCACAATGTGATTTATGCGTAATTTATCACGGGCAGGTACTCCTCCAACTCGTTAATAACTAAGCTTTAATGACAATATCCAGATGAAGTCAAGGGGCATGCATACAGTTTCTCAAAGTCTTCATCTTCATCATATTTACATATGTTCTTTTCATTTCTTTGTGATTCTAGAGATTTATTCACTAAGTTTAGAGTTTTATATTTTTTATAAATTTCATTAAATTTGCGCACACTTTTTGTTTTAATTTGTTTCTCCCATAAAGTTATGACATTCTACGCCTCCCTATGCTTCTCTGTCTTTGAATCTTTCCCTGCATATTCAGTTGGAGTATGGTGTATTTCTCTCCACGTATAATATGTCCGAGATATTCCAATTTTCTTGTTTTAATTGTATTTAAAACTTCTACTTCTTTATTCATCCTTCTCAGAACTTCTTTGTTTGTGACGTATTCTGTCCACGATATTTTCAGAATTCTTCTATACACCCACAGCTCGAATGATTCCACTTTTTTTATTGATGTCGCATTCAAGGTCTAAGATTTCATTTCATAAAATAAAGTCGATAAAACATAACACCTTGCCAACCAAACTCTTCAAGTAGTTCAAATAGTTCAAAAGTTCAAATTTTAAGTCCCTTGTACATAGCACTCTTCTGATTTTGTTGAAATTTGCTCTAGCCTTTTCTATTCTAATTTTGATCTCCTTAATTTAATCATTTGTGGAGTTAATCATTGTTCTCAGATATGCATATTTGCCCACTTGTTCGACGTTGGTTCCGTTTATTAGAAGATTCTCGTTATTTCTTTAAGTTTTCGATATTCTCATAAATTTCATCTTCTTGACAATCATTGTTAGACATACTCCGCTTTTCTGGTCACCAGTCTCTGCAGATCTTCAATATTTTCGGCCAAGATCACAGTAGCGTTTTTCAGGATCTGTTCGGAGTAGGCATTAAAAGGGATTGGCAAAAATACGCCTCCCTCTCTTACTCGATATCTAATTTCAATTTCTTCTGACAGCTGTTCGTTAACACATACTTTTGCTCGTTGTTTATAGTATAAATTTAATATGATCCTGAGGTCGTTGTAGTCAATATTCTTAGATTTCAGGATATTCATTAATTGTTTATGTCGTACTTTATCGCATGCTTTATTATAGTCAAAAAAAACAAGCGTATATATCTTGATTGACGCCCAGGCATCTTTGTATCAGAATATTAAGTGAAAAAAGAGCTTCACACGTTCCCAGGCTTTTGCGAAATCCAAATTGTGTATCAATAACGTCCATGTCCAGTTTGTGATATATTCGGTTATAGATGGCTTTTAGTTGTAATTTTAGCACATGAGACATCAAGCTAATGGTGCGGTAATCGTTGCACTCTTTTGCGTTTTTCTTTTTGGGTAGACAAATAAAAATCGACGTTAACCACTCTTTGGATAATACTCTTGAACTATAAATTTGGTTGAAGAGTGTCACCAAAACAAAAAAACAGGTCTAAAATTAAAGAGATACAATAAATCCTTTTCTGATAATATTCAGGCATTTTGTCTCGATCTGCTTGAAAACTCTTTTATTCACAATTGTAACATATTTTTCTCCACCAAGTTTCGTTGACAAAAGTTTAAAGTTTATTAGAAACTTATGTATTTTTCCAAGTATTTGACATTCATTATCTGTGATTTGAAAATCATTCAGTTCCAAAATCCAATATGGTAATGCCAGTTCTCACTTTTTAACCAAATTCAATCATGTCTTGTGTGGAATTCAATCTCGTGGACAGTGGAATATGGGATTCAGATTTTATGGTACGTCAGCTTCTGCACAAGCAGACTAAAACTTCGTCTTCAATATCTCATTTCTTTTTATTTTACTGGAAATACTACGTAATGTTGTTATAGCTGTACGTGAGTCAGCAATATTTGGCTCATATTCTTCATTTTCCTCAGTTTCGTCTTCATAGGCTTCACACTGCTGTTCTTGTCCGGTACTGTCAGTTTCACTGTGAAATGCTAAAGTCTTAAATATATCTTGTACGCCAAGGTTTAAAATGTGAGCAAAGTACCGGAAATGTTGATTGTCTGAATCAAAGTGTAGCAGCTACTCAGTTCATACATACTTGGTATTTGCAGTTGCGTTGTCGATATTTTATTTTTACATTATAATTATGAGCTTTGACTACATGTCAAATGTTTTAAGTGTCCTTTAATGAATATTTTGATTCGCTATGTGTGTTTATGGTTTGTTCGCAATGCGCAAAGTCCAATTTTCCACATTCTTGTTACACCTTTTTTTGTACCTCAACGACACTCAGTCCTAACTGCAAGATGAAAGAGTCTCGCAGGCTTAGTCTTATTCGTGTTCTTGCTCAAATCTTGCATTGTCAGTCTTGGTCTTGCTGTTGCTAAAATTAGACGGTATTGATCCTGCGAAACTCAAGAACAAGATTAATACCGATTTTGGGCAACACTTGTTTGGATTTTGGGTTGGCGGCGTAATTGATCCATATTTCTTTGAGAACTACGTTAACCAGCTATTACCGTCAACGGAGAGCTCTATAGATCGATAAACATTAACTTCTTTTGGTCCAAATTGGATGATGTAGACACCAACGACATATGATTTTAACAGGACGGCGCTACATGAACCACCGCTCCTTTTACTTTTGGCATTCTGCACGAGCGATTTGAGATTCTAATCATCTTACGTAGAGATAATGTGACCTGGACACTGAGATAACCAACAAACCAATAACATAACTCAGTCAAATTAAACCTGATTTATACACCAGTGTCATGGAAAATTGAACACTTCCATTCAAAGACATTCAAACGAATAAAAAAACGATGATAACACACTTTGCTTTATTTAAGTTTTTACATAGAAATCGCCTAATTAAATCAGATTTACGTGTTTTTTAATTGTTGTCTGCTTTATCCAGACGTTAGTGGTTATATAAAATTCATTAAACAAATGATCATTTTGCGATAATAATTGGTAGTCATAAACAGTAAGCAATAAATCAACAGCATAACGGTGTAACTGTGAATAAATTTACATAAAGTGATTCATAAAGGGTGTCGACCGGTCATTTCTCGGAAATAATATATCCCGAAGCTTAACAAAAAACGAGGATAAAAAAATTAAAAGTTTTGAATGAAAATTTTAGTCAATAAACCTAACCCATTATAATATAACTTTTTTAAGTAGTGTTAGATTTCATGGTCATTTATATTGTTTTCGGGTTTTATAGCCCGTGTTTTTGTATTATTTAATCTTGACGTCGCGTCTGTACTACAGCAGAAATTACCAAGTTATAATTATTTCCTCAGAGAGTGGAGTGGAAGACAGTTCGACCGATAACGCATCATCTGTGATACTGCTAAATTCTTTATAATCTCTCCCCACATCAAACTACTCAATGCCATATTACCAGAGGTTAGTTTACTTGACTATGATAAAACGTTACAGCATCTTTTGAAAAAAATATTTTACTGTGTTTCTAATATATTCGAGCAGCAGTTCTCAAACTGCTTTGGTGGCGGAACCCACCAATAGAGTTCAACTCAATTGGATTTTAACATTTTTTAACATTCTTAGTAGATTTTAGAATGTAAGTGTACTTAGAATTCTTTCAATAAATTTATAATTATTAACATGTATTCAATTAATTCACAAACTTAAATTTTTAACTTTATTGCAGAAAAAATATTAAAAAATCGTTTTTATTGTAAATAAGCAAATACTGCCAAAAATATTTTACTCTTGAGTAAAAATCACATAACTGTTATAACTATTTGTATGGGAAAATAAAACTGCTTTTTCTACTATTTTCCTTGAAATTTTATCATATTTTTTCGAGTTTCAGCGAAACGAAAAAAGTAAATAGATATGACGTTTGTTAAACGTCACTTTATGTTTAAATGAACTACCACTATAGTAGAGGTAGACTTATAAAACATTAGTTCTTCAAACGTCAAATAATTTGATGTCTTCGCCGGCAGCAGTTTTTTTTCCCATTTCTTTACGGCGCGGCGGAGGGAAAAATGTTGTCATGCCAACAATATGAAACAT